TCAAAGGGGGTGGCTGCTGGGGTGTTTGGGGGGGAGTGAGGGGAAGGGCTTGGGAACCTCCCAAGGGCTCTGGCACCCACTTTGATTCTCTGTTTTGTTTCTTTATTTGTCTCCTTTTACAGGTGGTGAGGGCCATTAACACCATCTTGTTACGCAAGGTCATCCACCTGGGCAATGTGGACCCCATCACCGCTGGATTTGCCGCCCTGGGCTTATCCAACTGCAGGTGGGCTATTGACAGAACACACATCCCTATCCAGGCCCCCGACAACCGTGCAGCACAATATATTAACAGAAAGGAATATTTTCTGTGACTGGCAGGTTGAAGCTGTGAGCTTCTAATCAAGGTTTGAAATCTAGAAGCCTCTGCTCATTGGTTGAGCCTTAATCTGGGGGAAGGGCTATCAGGCAGTCCAGGGCTTTAGAAAGCAGTGAGTCAGTGACCAGGAAGCTTGTGAACAGGAGCTGCTAACAGGCAGTTTTGAGAGGGAATTCTCCAGGTGAAGGAGGAGCTAATACAGGACTCTTCAGGGAAGTGGCTGTTTGTAGTGTGTGTCTGTGTTTGGGGTTCCTTGCTGTGTGCTGAGCTTGTGTTTGTCTGTGTTTTTTTCCCCTTCTCCCACCCGCCCCCAGATGTGTGCTGTGACTGGCAGGTGGAAGCTGTGAGCTTCTAATTAAGGTTTGAAATCTAGAAGCCTCTGCTCATTGGTTGAGCCTTAATCAGGGGGAGGGGCTATCAGGCAGTCCAGAGCTCTATAAAGCAGGGAGCTTGGGAACGGGCTGCTAACAGGGAGTTTTGCGAGGGAGTTGGGAAGGGAGTGAGATACACTCGCCATTCTTTAAAATCTTTTCACTAACCTATTATCAAAACTTCCTGAGCTCTGGTGGGCCTTCAGGGGTTTATGGCATCCGAGGCAAGGCTTTGAGCCAGGCCTAGCCTCAGCCTTATAAAAAAGGCAGCCAGAGTGAATGCAGAGAGCAGCAAACAGGGCAGCAACCAACCCTTGGAGTTCACTCTAGAGTAGGAAGGGGGTGTGACTTCTATTAGATTCAGCAAGGACTTACACACTACACTCCTGCCCTTCAAGGAGGCATTTAATAACATCTGGGGAATCTCTCAGAAGGAAGGCAGGTATGGATAGTGATAGGTCTGCTGTTGTTACCTGCACAGCATGTGTCATGTTTGTCTTCCTCCCAGAAGAAAGAAGGGATTTTATCTGCACTAAGTGCAAGCTGGTTGCCATTTTGAAAGAAAAAATTAGAGGACTTGAGGCCCAAGTATCGACCCTACGTTCCATCAGAGAGGATGAAGACTTCCTTGATAGAAGGCAGCATTTAGTCCTGCAGGCACAGCAGGCTGAAGAGCCAGTGAGGACAGTACAGGACAAGGACAAAAACTGGCAGCATGTCTCTTCTAGAAGGAGAAGAAGGCCAACTCAGGTATCCCCCATTCCTGTAGAGGTAAGTAACCGGTTTCAGGCTCTCTCCCCAGGCACTGTGGTGGAGAATTCTATGGCAGGGACCTCTCAGGGAAGAAATCCGAAGGGAACACCATCTACCGGAAGGCATGGGATGCGTAGTTCTAGAGATGGGGGCTCCATGATCACCACCCCCAAAAGAAGACGCAGGGTGGTGGTGGTTGTCCCCTAAGAGGGACTGAGTCATCCATCTGCCATTCAGACCTGGAATCTCAAGAAGTGTGCTGATTACCAGAAGCTCGCATTCAGTATGTGACTAGGAGTCTTTCAAAACTGATCAAACCTTCAGATCGCTACCCCTTCCTGCTTCTTCATGTAGGAACTAACAATACGGCCAAGAATGACCTTGAGTGGGTCACAGCAGATTATGTAGTGCTGGGAAGAAGTATCAAGGAATTTGAAGCATAAGTGGTGTTCTCATCCATCCTCCCTGTTGAAGGAAAATGTACAGGTAGGGATCGTTGAACTGAGGAAGCAAATGCGTAGTTGCACAGATGGTGTCGGAAAGAGGGCTTTAGTTTCTTCGACCATGGGACTCTCTTCTGGGCCCGAGGATTGTTAGGAAGAGATGGGATCCACCTAACCAAGAGTATGTCTACACTAGCTCGTTAGTTCAAATTAACATTTAACTGTTGCGTCTAGCTGTGGGCAGTTAGCTCGGACTAAGGGGGATTTAAAAATGGCGGCGCCCAGGAACATATTTAAATCCCAGGCTTCATTTGCAACTCCGGTTGCCCTCATTTGCCTACCTAGCTCAAACTAACGAGCTAGTGTAGACATACCCCAAGAGAGGAAAGAGCATCTTTGCGGGCAGGCTTGCAAACCTAGTGAGAAGGGCTTTAAACTGGCTGGGGGGTGGAGGGGGGGGGGAAAGGGGA